AAAAAAAAAAAATATTTGTCAATTGTGGGCACATTGTCCATTAGTCGTTGTGTTGTATGATGTGCAAATTTTACTGTCACGTCATATCAGTTGGTAGACATATTAATTATTTAACCCGCCGTGTCTACATTTTAGAAAAATGAATGAAAAAAAAGAAAATGAAAAAAAAAAAATGGATTTGATTACAATTTGCATCTCACACTTCCCCTCATCTCTCTTGCTATTATTACATGTTAGATTAAAAATGTCTCAAAACTTTTACTGTGTGGTACTGCTTTTCACATTCATACACTGATTTTTGTTTGCTTGTTTGTTTAAAAACAGTTAGACAAAAAGGACATATATTAATTTTTAAAACAGTAAATGTTCATGAGATATCTCTAGCTAACATAGAAAATGACATAGACTTGACCTTTGATTCTTTTAAATATATATATATGTATGTATATGTAAAAAGAACATATAATATGAATGAAAGTTATATATAAAGGGTAGATATATAATTGTCCTCATGATTTGAGCAAACTCTTCATTTGCATAATTACTTATACCACTGTAAAATTTATTGTTTACTATCCTCTGTACATTCCAAAGGCCAATTAACATATGCTAACCTGTAAAATTAGGCAGATAAGGTCACTTGACAGTGATATTATTATCATTGAAAGAAATTGGAGACGTGTGCGGTTCCACTAACATGAAGCGCATCATGAGAAGGAAAGCTCATATGAAGCCCAAGTGTAGTAGGAGGAATAACCCATTACACTTATAAGGTGAGTCTATTTTTCATGTATGAACGATGTGGGACAACTCACAAGTGATATTCTAACGGTGATTATACCGTTATTTTTATTTTATGTGTATTGGATAACATATGATGAGAGAAAGTAACAATTGATTCCACATATTTTCATCATTTGTTTTGTTTTTGGTTTAGATTCATTGACTTGATTGGTCCCTCTCACCAGCTAGCTAGCTGGTCCAGAACCAAAAAATAAAAAAAGTTCTAAAAAAATTTCTAAGTGAAAAAGAAAGTGTCAATGAATTTTAACCTTATTTAGCAAAGTAGGTAGATGAGAGTTCTTATGAGAGTTTGTGAGGTCCTAACTCTTAAAGCTACTTGGTACTCTTTTTTCCTTTTATTTTTTCTTTTTATTTATTTATTTTTATTTTTTTACCTTAATTGGTTGCTCACATTTATTGTGTGACCCTTTTTTTTTTAATCACCCTCAGCTCACTGTTGAATCTTTCTTACCCATACAGATTGAAAGTACAAATGAATGAATGATTGTTATTGTGTTACCAACTTACCATATCTTGTCTATTTACCTCCCCCCCCCCCC